GACAAATCAAGCATTACTGGCAATAAATCCAAAAGAAATTTATTGTAAAACAATTCTTTGGGGCTGGAGAGATGACTCAGCAATTAAGAGTGCTTTCACAAGAGACTAGAGTTCAGATCCCAGCACCCATGTAAAAGCCAGACATGGTCCTGTTCGCATCTCTAACCCAGCACCGAGAGAGCAGAAGCTCCAGGAAAGGGCTGGCTGCCGGCCTAGACGAAACCTGTGAGCTCCAGGTTCAGTGAGAGACTCTGCACCAAAGGAACAAGGCAGCGTGACAAAGGAGGATATCTTCCTGTAGTTTGGTGTCATGCTCACCCACACATGCATGTGCACATATACCACACACATACACTTCACACACATACATACACACACTCACACATGCACATAAAAATAACAAGATAACAAAATCAGTTATTTAGCACAGATAATTTTACCATTCAGGACTAAAGTAAATTTGCATACTAATGAGATGGATGTGCTTGTTTGTGTAACACAACAATCGGAGGATACACTAATTTGATACATACTGAAGAATGATGGTAAGACAATGTGAAAAGTCCCTGTTTTAACATTACGCTTTTGTAAGAGCAGAAGATTGTGTATGTACAGTTGAAAGTGCTGTGGGTCATAGCATATCAGTCTCTAGGGAGAGCCTCCAGTGTGCACCAAGGTGTCTCAGGCAGTGTCAATGTCTGGTGTGATCTAATCACAGTTGTAGAGTGTGAATGGTATTTGTTTAGAATCACAGTTGCAGTAAAGTCACAGTAGGCAGCACAGGTCAGAAACGTCTAAGTCCCATTATGTGTGTGATTTTGAATTAATTGTAAAACTTTGTGTGTTCGGAATCCTTGACTGTTGGCAAACTTTTTGTGAATGCTCATTCCACTATCAGACCCAGTTGGGACCCTCAGTTTAAACAGATTTGCTCTAGGCCAGCCTCATGCCCAGCCATTCAACTCCAACTACCATCTCCTTCCCTTATTTCTTGCTCAACCCAGATGACGTTCTTTTTTTTTTTTTTAAGATTTATTTATTTATTTTTATTTCATGCTTGTGAGTGTTTTGCCTGCCTACATGCGTGTGCATCATATGCATGTTTGCTTGGTGTCCAAGGAGGTCAGAAGTGGGCATCAGACCCCTGGAGCTGGAGTTGCAGATAGTCACATGAGCCAACATGGGGTGCTGGAACCGAACCTGGATCCTCTGAAAGAGCAACAGGTGCTTTTAACCACTGAGCCATCCTCCCAGCCCCTGAACCGGTTCACTCCCACTTTCTTGAGTCCAGCCTGAGATCCTTCCAATCGACAAATCTGGTGGCAGCCTCTGCTTAGAACCCTCATTCATTCTAGTGACTTGCAGTGATTCTAGCCACACTGCGCTGACATCAGAGGAATCTACACATTTTTTTGTATTCTTTAGTCCTCTGGGATGTAGAAAATGCAAATGAAATATGCTTGTTTGTTTGTTTGTTTGTTTGTTTGTTTGTAGCCCTGGCTGTCCTAGAACCTGCTATGTAGACCAGGCTGGTCTTGAACTCAAAGAGGTCTGCTTGCCTCTACCTCGTGAGTACTGGGGTTAAGGGAATTCTGCACAGGCTCACAGCCTAACCTTGGTCTAAGACCAAAATATGGGCTCAAAGCTGCATCCTGAGCTGGGTGGTGGTGGCACACAGCTTTAATCCCAGCACTCCAGAGGTAGAGGGATCTGAGTTTGAGGCCAGCCTCTTCTACAGAGTGAGTTCCAGGACTGCCAGGGCTTCACAGAAAGCCTGTCTAAAACAAACAAACATACAAACAAAAAAAAATCAAAACAACAAACACAAAACCCCCCAACACACACAAAAAAAGCTGTACCCTGTTGTCAAAAAAAATTACAACTTGCTTACCAGTTGCACTGCTTTTAAGCGTTTGTTGTTATTAGCAGCCAGCTAAGTATGTGATGCCTAACACTGACCATCCAGAGTGAGGAGCAGGATCACCTTTGCATCAGTAATAAAATCCAGGGGACTCCCACTAGGTGCTCCTTCCTGCTTGAATGCCCCTTCTGCAGAAGTAAATTTACCTGCCCCTAGTGCTTTGGATTGTGTGGGCTTTTCCTTGAGACCCCAGACCCATTTCTTTTTCTTTTCTTTTCTTCTTTTTTTTAAAAAAATTATTTTATTTGCATGTATGTCTGCGTGAGGGTGTCAGATCTTGGAGTTACAGACAGTTGTTAGCTGTCATGTGGGTGCTGGCAATTGAACTGAGGTCGTCTGGAAGAACAGGCAGGGCTCTTAACCACTGCGCCATCTCTCCAGCCCAGACCCATTTCTTATGTGAGTACTTTCCTCCCTAAAAGGGAACACACCTCCCACTCCCCTCCTGACCCTGAAAGCTGAATTGTCAGGCTGCATTCTTGCTCCCTGTTAGAGCAATCTGTGGTCTCCTGTTCACTGCTGTGTTACATGGCTAGCAGGTCTATGCGGTAGGCCTTTAATAAATGATTGCTATTGAATTTATGAACAAAGAAATGAGTGAGTCAAAGGTAAGAGGCTGAACCACAGTCCTGCTAAGTAGGACTGAATCATAGCGCAATGGGGGGTAGGGGTGGGTGAGCCAAGTGAGAATGAGGTGGGAGATGCAGAAATGAATTTGTAGGAGGAGCCAGTTTCTCAGTCTACATCCTGGGCGGGCTTCCTAGAGTGGTCCAGACTCACTCCAGGTTCACGAACTCAGATCCCCCCTCCCCCCCTCCCCCACGCAGTTGGGTTTAGGGGTTATGTTTTGGTTTCCCTTTGAGCCAACCCACCCAGCCAATAAAAGGTTGCAAAGAGATACAACACCGGCCGGCAGCTGTTCCTGGAGAATCCTGCCTGGCTGGCCCCTCCCCGACTAGCCTCGGGTCCCCTCGGTTGCCTAGGGCGAGGTGGCAGGGCTGTGGGAACCCGGCAGAGCGAGTCCAGCAAGCCCGCGGCCTCCAGGGCGCTGTCCATGGTGCCCTCGCGCCAGCCGCGTCCCGGCCTGCGCTTCGCTAGCTCACCGCTTATAGTCGGAGGAGAAGATCCCGCCGCTCGCCGGGTCGTGGCCATATTCCGGCTCTCCGGGGCCGGCCGAGCCGCCCTTGTCTTCGCTGTAGGCCGGGGCGGCCGACATGGGTCTGTGATGCCGGGTGGCTGAGAGGCTCGGCTGGGCTAGGGCCGAGGCAGGGGGCGCACGCCTAGCTCTGCAGAGATGCAAGCTGCGCTGCAGAGGCTGCGCGCGGATTCAGCAATCAGGGCCGCGCGCTGAGATTCTTAAAGGCACCGGCACCACACGCGGAGTGCAGGGGTTGGGGTGAGCGTACCAGGGCAGAAGGAACAGTGCCCGGCCCGCGCCAATCCCTCAGAACCCCCTGACACCCGTGCCGCCGCACTTAAAGCCACTGCGAGCACCTACACTGGGAACAGTGAACCAGGCTTTGGAGGGATGCGGACCTCCTGCCACCACCCGATCACCTGACCTCCAGGGGTCCGCCCACCCACGCAGTGAAGGAAGGGGGGTACGCTGAAATAAGGCCATACCCGCAGACACCAGTAGAACACCGGACTTGGAGATTTAGGGATAGTACCTTTACAACCTCCTTTTCCACACATCTAAATCAAATCCCTCTGGGGGCAACCTGCCTACCAAGTGGGAAGCATAACAGTTTCCTGGAAGAAGTGGTATGTCAGAGCAGCCTGACCCAGGAAGCAAGCACTAGTGCATTCTGGGAGCAGAATGGTTCCAGGGGAAGTAGAGAGCACATCTAACATCCTAAGCAAGTTTTAGAAAATACTTTAATGATCCTTTCTGAAGCCTCTTCTGCCCCACTCAGGAGGGACTAAGGTCACATTAATCCGTGGTTAAGTCCATTTCCATTGACATCTAGGAGGGAAGGGAGAAGTAACAGGTTGAGTTAGGGTCTGGTGTAATCACCAGGTCTCAGGGACTTGGTGACTCTTGGACCTTAGCGCTCAAGACCCAAGGAAGGGAGGAAGGGAAAGAAGGAAGAAAGGAAGGTAGTAGGTCTGGGTGGAGAGAAAGCCCCAGACTATGCTGATGTATGGGTTATGTCTCTTTCTTTGGGCTAGAGTTTGGGGCATGGGGTTGAGTGGTTGGAAACTTCTGGCAAGGCTTGGAGAATGGAAGAGTTGCCAAGGGCTGTCTTCATGGGTAGAACCTAGGATCCCCAAGTCTCTGGAATCAGAATTAGTGGTCTCATTGGAAATGGGATGAACTCAGAAAGGAGGACTTTGGGTCCCTAGAAAGTGGAGGGCTCTAGTAGGCAGGATCTTGGCAAACAAGGCTCTGGTGGGTCTTGCCCCCCATTCCCTCTGCCTTCTGAACTGTTAGATTACACTCCTAAAGCTAGCCACCAAGGTCGATTCCCTTATTTGGCCACTTCCTCCTCCTGAGGCTGACCACCAAAGTCCAGCTGTCAAAGAATTGAAGTCCAGCAATCAAAAGCCCCTTTTGTCTATACTAATGAACATGCCCAACCAAAACATACCACCTCATTAACACCAGGGTTACCCTTTCCCCTTTATAAACTGCTTTTTGCCTATGGGCTACATCTGCCTCCACTTTATCCAAAGGCGGTCCTTTGTTCCTCTGGGGAAAACCTCTCTTCCCCTTCTCCATTGCCCCTTTTCTCCCCTCTCCCTTGTCTGCTATCCTCTGCCTTTGTCCCTCTGGGGCAAAGAATTCTCCTGTGGGCTGAGAACTTGGTCTTGGTGTGTCTTCCAGAAAGACATTCTACTGAAGGAAGAATGATGGGTTTGGCCCAGCACCTGGGTAGGAGATTGGTAGTAATCAGTGAATATGTCTGGCTAGGATGTAAGGACTGGGGCTTGAGGCCCGCCTGGCAAGGGCTCAGAGGGTTTCATAGTGTGTGACTTCAACAAACAGGCACGCCAATTTGTTTCTGGGGACTTTAGAACTGCCAGAGTAAAGACCTTAAAGGAACCTGGTCTGAGTGTAGTAGGGGAGGGGAACGTCTGAATTTTGCTGGAGCAGGTTGATTGGTAGCATTTCTTAGCAAACTCAGGGGCTGAGGTGGGGATCTGTACCCTGGAGGAGAGGTGCTTACTGAGTCCACGCCCAACAGGTTCAGTGCAAAGTGCACGCAGTTGCTGCTAGTGGGATTATAGAGAGGAGGATCGCTGTTCATAGCTTCTTGCACGCGGCGCTCCAGCACCTTGGGGTCAATGCCACCGCGTCTGCGAAGCACACGCCAGAGCTTTCGGGAGCGCTGCAGCGCGCGGTGACCCTGTTTGCACACCACACCTTCGCAGTAACCCAGCAGGGTTTGTAGTCCACCACTGCCAGAGGTCCTGCCTGCAGGGGTAGCAGACCCAGTGCAAATCAGAAGTAGCATTTCCTCAAACCCAAGTCCCACACCCGGGCTGCCCCTCCCCCCTTCAGAGACCTACCCTTTCACCCCGGAGCAGCCCTCTCGCGGCTGGTCCACTATGTTTTCACTCACCCTCAAAGTGTATGATCTCTCCGTGGCCACAGTAAACACCCACGTGGGCCCCGAACCACTGTGCCCTAGGAGACTGCAACTTGAACAGGAAGAGGTCTCCGGGCTGAGGCTCCCCTTTGTCTAACTCCACCTCCTGGAAGTGCTGACCCATGAACGCCTCAGAGAAGAAGAACTTAACGGTGCTGGATGCCCTTTCTAGGGTCTAAGAGGAGAAACGTGGAGACTGCAGGGTAGTACACGCACGGGTGTAGCTAGCTGGGTCATTCAGCTTATCACACACGGCAGACCTGGCTTGGGGTAGGGCCCTGGGCAGGTGTTCACTGCTTCACACCTGCCTCCCTGTCCTTAAGGGATTCCAGAGGCCTGAAACCCACAGATAGACCCTGCCCTGAGCCACCC